GCTGTTGACGGCGTCCTTCCAGTGGCTCACTGCGGCGGCGCAGTCGGGCTTATCCGATTCCAAGGCCATGTAGGCGTATGTACCACTTTTAAATCCATTTTCAACTACGCTCTTTCCTACATCTGCTGAGTCTTCCTGAAATGAAAAAAACACGGATGAAGAAGTGAGACATGACGTACACATAGGAGGACGAAGGACAGAGGCAGCAGTGAAAGACACTTACTCCTATCAGAGCCTTACAAACAGGATCCCATGCAGGATTTTTTTGGTCTTCTCCTTGCTCCAATGTAAGTGGAGGCCACGTTAGTTGTTCGTCACTGGCATCCGTTACGAAGTGTTTGAGACCAGCGGCTTCGCGTGCAGCGTTCATTTCGGCGAGGCACGAATTAGCATCATCTGCAGAAAAACGAACGGCGCAGACATCCTAAGCCCAAATTTACAAGTATTGATACTTGCAAATGTGGGTTGGAGTCATTTAATGCCCTTCGAGGGATTTCTTCGCTTCCAAGCCCACTGAACCTCTGGCACAAACCATCGCCTCCAATGCATTTACTTTGGACCACTAGAAGGCTGAAACCCTCCCCAGCAAACAAGTATTTGCCAACCTACCGAGTTCTACAGTGTAGGTTGGGGATGATCCCTGCGCTGTCAATGAAGCTTGCTTTGCCGTTTGATGAACAGCGTTCGCCATCAAGAACGCAGACGCATTGGCGAGCGAAAAAAGCTTAAGGGCCGCCATGTTTTTAGTGTTGAAGTTGAATAGGTGAACGAGAAAACTGGAAGAGTGGGGGAAGTTTTTAGGGCCCTCAACTTCAGATGTAACAATATGTTTTGCAGTGTGTGTGCAGGAGGTGGCGGCGACGGAGCGGACTGCGACTGGCCCATCCGGCCCGGCGTGGAGTCAATCTGCCTATGCGCTGGAGTTGAGTTTACAACCCTGCCATTGTTAAAAATACTTCAATGACGTACTTCAATTATTATTGTCTACACGGTGCCCCCTGCCGCCGTCGAACGCGACGTGAAACCCCCGCGGAAAATCCTTGCCATCCTGGCTGAATCGGGGATGCGGAGGGCCGAGGTCCCCCGTGTTCGATTCATGTTGTTCTGTCCATGTGCCAACCCCTTATAAGGTACTTGGGAAGGCTCTGAAGTGTATTAATATACATTGTCTCGAAACTGTGGTTCCTTGCTCTTCTGGCCGTGGCCCATGGACTTGTATGAGGTCCCTTCATCGGGGCGAGTTGTCCTGCGTCGATCATGTCGAGGCATGTGCGCCCGAACATACAAAGGGAAAATGCTACTGGTGGAAACTCTTAATATCAAACTCATCAGCTTCCGCTATGTACTTCCGCAGCCTAAAATGTGCGAACTGCGGTCGCTCGCTAGGCTTACTGCTCTCGTCCGCAACACGCACGCATGCAGGGCAGGGCGGTATGCATGCACAAATGTGCGGAAACACCTGCGCAAGCTTGCAGCGACCCACAAGGTGCTGGGTTGATTACCGGATAGTCATAATGCCGGTCAATTGAATCAGTAAAAAAGAAGGAGTACGTAGGACACATGTCCAGGCAACAAGAGCAGCCGAGGCAACCAAGCATTTGCTGCCCATTGAAATAAAAAAGGCTGAGAAGGCGGTTAACTAGTGGCGCATGCAGCGCAAACCCGACAGGCGCAAGCAAGAGTATACATGGCCTGCGTTGAAGCCTTTCGCTTGCCGCAGTCCTGTGGATGCAGCGGGAAGCAAACACCTGCTTAAGCTGTACACGCCAGTCAGAGTTTCTGTTCTGAAGGAAGGAAAAAGTGAATAAAACGCTGCGGAGCGCGGCTCTGCTTGAATAGTATCTGCAGTAGCCGGGTGACACGGAGAGATCACTGCCTTAAAGGGCAACCAAGCCAACGGCCGCAATAGCAACGGCCAGCAGACTCGGAGCGACAGCAGAGGCAGAACCTGTGATGGATGCCTTGATCTTCTTCCACTGCTCTTCGCTGCGCGCAATTCGCC